CATTTTTCTGTTAACAGTAAGTGAGTAAATTAATCATTTACTCGAAGTTTGTTGAAGAATAAGCATTACGTAATTTTAGCTACGTCCGCAAAAGAATTATTAAGCAGAATTTTGTATAGCAACAGTAAAATGCTCGGTTAGGGCGTCATGTCCATCTATTGTATCATGTTTGGTCCATGCGTCGAGCAGGCAAATCGTTTTTGATTAATGGAATTTGCGTCAAATTTTGTATACGGAAACAATTCTTATTGGTCCAATTTGTGACAGAAACGCAAATTTTGATGGCCGCCGGTAAATAGTAGAATCGGGCCTAAATGCATTAAGGTATTGACTTCTAGGAATTTCCAATTATCGAATTTTAGCGCCCAAAATCGCGTAAGCAGAAAGTGCAAAATTTAGAAAAAATAAGGAAGCAGCGGAAAAAAAATTGTCCCTGAATGACGGCTCTTATACTGCTTATAATAGTCCTGGGAATAATATATTGATTTATTTGATCTATTGCATTTTTGTATAAGATTTTCAATAAATCGCCCCTAGCCGCATAAAAACTTCGGCTCATTGTACTCTGAAAATACGATGAGGTTAGTGAGATTTGACAACCATATATGTATTATAGTGTAGAGCAAAAATTAAACTTTTCATTGATATGTAACTATACTAAAAACACACGTAAGTGCAAGTAATTAACAGTGAAATATCTGTTTACACCTAGCAACGCATTTTATGATCCCATATTTACATATATTTATTTACATTTACTTCTTTCAGTTTCTTGGATAGTTTATACCGGATAGTCAAGAAGGCAACATTAACTATTCTCAAAACACCCTGGATATTAGCACAATTTTTTCCTCTTTTCATAATATTTATTCTGGTATAAAGTTAAGAACATAAAAAATCATAGGGACACCTTTCAACATTATCGCATAAGACTACAGTAGATTTAATTTTTTTGGTTTGAAATGTATTGTATACTAAGTGACATATAAATCCGAACACCAAGTTTAAATGGTTTTATTTTAATAAAATTTTGTATAAGTACTTAATGAAGCATAATAAGTAAATGATAAAAATTTCAAAATGATTGCACTGCTTTAAAGCCCTTTGACCTTTAATAATGTGTGGATGCACCCTGACATGCTACGCATTCTCCAACGCGCCTAGGCATGCTTCTGATCAGGTGGTCAATGTCCTCCTGTGGTATCTCATTCCAGGCAACCACCAACTCCTCTCGAAGTGCTTCTAGAGTCTGAGGAGGACGTTGCAAATTGAGCAATCTCCTACCCATCATATCCCACACGTGCTCAATTGGGGATAAGTCGGGAGATCTTGGTGGCCATGGTAACATCATTATGTTGAAAGAAGTTTATTGTGACTCTTGCAACATGTGGTCGGGTATTATCTTGTTGGAAAGTTGGATCTGCCAGGGTGTCAAGATAGGGTAAAAGATGGGGTTCTAGAACTTCGTGGATATAACGTTGCGCGTTCATGTTACCTCTGATGAAGATTAAAGGTGACCTGGAACCATAAGCTATAGCACCCCAAACCATAACTCCAACAGTGTGATGAACATGTCTTTCAACAAAAAACTGTGGATTCCTCCTCTCACCACGTCGCCTTTTAACCCTGGCACGACCATCGTGCATGCCTAAACAAAATCGAGACTCGTCACTAAAGACAATACTGTTCCGTTCCAGATCCCAGAGTGACCGTTGTCTGCACCACTCAAGGCGATTACGTCGGTGTTCTCGAGTCAAAGGGAGGACCCAGTGTGGCCGGTATGAAAACAAACCAAAACTTCTCATTCGTCGGTAAACGCTTCGCATGCCAATAGGTCTTCCGTGTTCTGCAAACCATTCATTTGCAATGGACCTGGTAGTGGAGAAACGGTCCCTTAAGGCCAATAGTCTTCTATCAGTCTTGATAACAGAAGAAAGATTCACTCGCTAATATTCCTGCATAAAGTAGTGCATAGCAGTTATGATTGTCCATCATTTCTAGCACAGATTAAATTTAATGCTCCAAAATTTGTTACTCGCAATACACTCACTTTTTACCTACCTACCCCACGAACTAACTTACTGTTGCACTCACCTTTGTACTCGATGTGTTCATGTTATAATAGTCTACAGAGTACATTTGATTTGTTCAACACAAATATTTCGAACATTAAGAGAGTTTGCAGTGAAATGATTTAGTTTTTAGTTTTCGATGTATTTTTATATGTTTTTTTACTATTTCTATTGTTGTTTTGCCAACAGTAATTGGTTAACACTGTTGGTGGTGGATTTCAATAAATAAATAAATAGTCTTAGGCGGCGATCTTCACGGTCTGTTGTTCTACGGCGGCGTCCAGTGCCCCTTGCTCTTTGCGTACGGCCTTCTCGAAGCCATGCCTGACAACACCTAACCACAGTGTCTACACTTCTTTGCACTCTAACTGCAATTGCCCGAAAAGAAAGTCCAGCTTCCAGAAGTCCCACTATCCCCTATCAAACTCAGTAAGACGAAATCGTACAGGTCTCCGTACTCTGAGCATCTTAACCGATCGTAAAGGATGTCAAGAACCAAAATCCGCCAACGTTGATTCTTTACTGCGGCTGAAATATTCATTTTTAGAGCGTTAGTGAATTAAAAAAAAAACAGTATAAAAACCAGAATGTCCAACTGATCAGGCTGAAAATTTTTTCACTTGTTATTTACAGTAAGATAAATACGAGTACATTCACCAACTTTTATTAAAATAAAACCATTTAAACTGGGTGTTCGGATTTCTATGTCACTTAGTAGATATATGTATTCATTCGTCTTGATATCTGATTTACAAACAGGTCAGCTGTAATCCAAAAACCGGTCATACGAAGACCCAGAAGCACAGGGTGTTCCATTTAAACTTTTTGAAAAAACGTTCCTTTACGTTCTGGACCACCCTGGCTGTTCAAAAAACTGAAAAAGCAACAAGTGTATCGGAAAATACGGTATCATATTTTTTTGACAAAAAATTCAGTACTCTAGCTATAACAGTTGCAGCAGTGCGAGTAGTCAAAATTCAGTGTTTTGTCTCAAACATTTGGAAATAGAACCCTATAGCATGTTATGTCAAATTACTCAAATCTGCAATTGAATGTGCTGATTTTTATTAAAATGTTTTGCAGCCTGTCGAAGTAATAAATATTTCTCAAGTAAGGAGCATACTGTTGGTTAAAATTTTTGAAATTAATTTTTTTAGATACTATACTTACCGACTTTAAAAACTCAGGTAATTGCGTCTAAATTTGGCCGGCAAACCTGCTGTAATCCTACAATTATCATTCATAAAGAAAAACAAATACCAGCAGATTCGAGCTGCCTGACCTTAGACTGTTAGGAGTGATCCTGATGACATTTGTAGGGCTACAAATCTTGTCCATGAAGTGAGAAACGCAAGTATTCCTCTCTAGACGGTAGCAAAGTCACTCAGAAACGGAAAGCGAGAACAACTCCCGCACATCCACGGTCCTAAAGGCATAGTCTTCACAACGGAGGATAAGGTCGTGGTTTTCGCTGATGCCATGGAAAAACAGTTCTCTCACAACTATGATCTTGATAATGACTTCGATGAGGAACAACACATCGTACGATCCGTCAGGAGATATTTTCTTCTATAAACTAATCCAAAAGGGTTTTGGCTTCTAAAATTACTGAAATACTGTCTTGAAGGAAGGACGCTTCGGATCAAAATTAACAATGTTTTGTAACAACAGGGCCAGTTCGGGCCGGTGATCCTCAGGGCTCGGTTCTAGGACCAATCTTTTATTCGCTTTTTCTCCATGATGTCCCTTGCCCCAGCAACTGTGAAGTCTACATGTATGCTGACGACTCTGCGCTTGTCGCACAGTCGTGTACTGGTGATCTGGTTCACGATGGGTTGCAGGGTGTGATGGACGAAGTACTAGAGTGGGCGGAACGGTGGCTGATTAAAATTAATCATTCGAAAACGCAGGCTATTTATTGTACCAAAAAACGTCGCGGCCTCCCAGCAAAGGTTTCTGTAGACGGCAGTCGTGTACCATGGACAAATTCTTCCAAGAACATCGGTGTCACCCTTGATAAAGGCATCACCTGGCTGAAACATACAGCAGCCTTGAAAACAAAATGCCAAATTGCGTTTCGGCGACTATATCGTTTGCTATGTAGATCCTCCAAATTGAGTTTGATAAGCAAAGTTCGCCTATATAAAATGATTATTAGACCAGCCGTTACCTATGCATGTGCGGCTTGGTGTTTTCTTACCAAGACACACATGCAAAGTCTTCAAGTGCTGCAAAGCAGAACTTTGCGAACAATTTGCAACGCTCCAAACGAGACCCAACACACAGACTTTGACATTCCTTACTTGAGGGATTATGTCAAGCTTCAGGCGCAGCGGCGTTATAGTCAAGCGGAATCGCACAGCAACCCTCTGTTACGTGACTCAGTGGACTACACAGTGGAGCAATTTCGTAAGCATTCAAGGCCGCGGCTCACACTGTAATAAAAAATTAGCGCGAACTTTTAGTAAACTTAAAATTACACTCTAACAAAACCGAATCAAACTTTGTTTAGTTCACCTCAAAATTAATCCGTGTACCAAGTCAAAAAGCTTAGGTGCTTCCTCTTAAACTATTAAACTAAACACGTTTGTTTTTTCTTTGCTCTTCTCCTTTTTTTCTTCTTTTTCCCTTTCTCTTTTTCCTCGACATTGTCTGGTTTCTGCGCAACCCGTACTGACAGATTTGACTAACGTACATTAGACAGTGACTAATGGGCAAAGTCCTACGGACGGCAAAGACAAACAAATGACGAATAGACTGTTGGGAGAGTAGTTCTATTTCAACTGTTTCAGAAAATTGTAATACATTCGAATTATTCCTCAAAGCACCAATAGTAGAGCTTAAGTTATTCAGGTAGTCCCGTACTAAAACATAACAGCGCTGTACTTCCAATAATGTTTTACCACGAAAGCTATCCATTTTTGATTGTTACCTCAGTTGAGTCATTTGGTTTTGATTGAAGATGGAGTTCGTCCCGTTACTTCTAGCCCTCAAGGCTAACAACTGCGAGTATCTGGGATCCTCTTGCATGCCTTTTTCCTCCATGCTATCGATAGCCCGTTGTAGAGCGTTCAGGTTTTCTTGGCCTTGAGGTGGAGGAGGACCTTGGCCGCCAGCGTTCGAAGTAGGTATTGGAGGAGGGCCGGGAGACGGTGAAGGATTCTGAAACAAAATTATTGTTTGTTACTTATTTGAACAGATTACCTGATAACAATATATCACCAAAACCTTATCCCCGCTATCAATATTGTTTCTTAAAATAATCTATTGAAACTAGATACGAAAACGAGCTACAAATGTACTGTTTGGTGCAGAGGTGGTGTTGGATATTTTCTTCGAGATTTTAATATCATGAACCCCTTCCGTAATAGGCCAGGAAGAAGGATTTGTTTTCCTACCATTTTGGTGACAAAGAGATTCGAATAGATTTTGGGGCTTCTTAAACTCTAAGCGAAAATCAACAAACTTATCAAGTTGGATGATTTACAATGGTAATGAACTTTTGGAACCGGACGACATATTAACTGCTTTTGCGGATAACTTCTCCAAATACTACTCGTCTTCATCAGCCACCGAAGAAACTGACGACTTTTTAATGAGCAATGAACTACTACTCAATATTACTAGATTTGAGGAGGATGAAGTTGTCTTAGCCTTGAAGCAAATAAAACCTAAGATGACTACCGCACCGGATAATGTACCAGCTTTTATTTTGCGTGACTGTGCCTCGGTGTTGGCGTGTCCTTTGACCGTTTTATTCAACTTGTGTCTTACCACCTGCACAATTCCAGAATTATGGAAGTGGTCTAGAGTATGTCCAATACACAAAAACGGCAGTAGGAATGATGTATCAAATTTTAGACCTATATCAATATTGTGCAATTTTTCAAAAGCTCTAGAGATATTAATATATATATACTAAGTGACATATAAATCCGAACACCCAGTTTAAATGGTTTTATTTTAATAAAATTTTGTATGAGTACTTAATAAAGCATAATAAGTAAATGATAAAAATTTCAAAATGATTGCACTGCTTTAAAGCCCTTTGACCTTTAATAATGTGTGGATGCACCCTGATGTGCTACGCATTCTCCAACGCGCCTAGGCATGCTTCTGATCAGGTGGTCAATGTCCTCCTGTGGTATCTCATTCCAGGCAACCACCAACTCCTCTCGAAGTGCTTCTAGAGTCTGAGGAGGACGTTGCAAATTGAGCAATCTCCTACCCATCATATCCCACACGTGCTCAATTGGGGATAAGTCGGGAGATCTTGGTGGCCATGGTAACAATGTGACATCATTATGTTGAAAGAAGTCTATTGTGACTATTGCAACATGTGGTCGGGCATTATCTTGTTGGAAAGTTGGATCTGCCAGGGTGTCAAGATAGGGTAAAAGATGGGGTTCTAGAACTTCGTGGATATAACGCTGCGCGTTCATGTTACCTCTGATGAAGATTAAAGGTGACCTGGAACCATAAGCTATAGCACCCCAAACCATAACTCCAACAGTGTGATGAACATGTCTTTCAACAAAAAACTGTGGATTCCTCCTTCCACCACGTCGCCTTCTAACCCTGGCACGACCACCGTGCATGCCTAAACAAAATCGAGACTTGTCACTAAAGACAATACTGTTCCATTCCTGATCCCAGAGTGACCGTTGTCTGCACCACTCAAGGCGATTACGTCGGTGGTCTCGAGTTAAAGGGAGGACCCAGTGTGGCCGGTATGAAAACAAGCCAAAACTTCTCATTCGTCGGTAAACACTTCGCATGCCAATAGGTCTTCCGTGTTCTGCAAACCATTCATTTGCAATGGACCTGGTAGTGGAGAAACGGTCCCTTAAGGCCAATAATCTTAGGCGGCGATCTTCACGGTCTGTTGTTCTACGGCGGCATCCAGTGCCCCTTGCTCTTTGCGTACGGCCTTCTCGAAGCCATGCCTGACAACACCTAACCACAGTGTCTACACTTCTTTGCACTCTAACTGCAATTTCCCGAAAAGAAAGTCCAGCTTCCCGAAGTCCCACTATACGGCCCCTATCAAACTCACTAAGTTGACAAAATCGTAAAGGTCTCCGTACTCTAGGCATCGTAACCGATCGTAAAGGATGTCAAAAACCAAAATCTGCCAACGTTGATTCTTTACTGCGGCTGAAATATTCATTTTTAGAGCGTTAGTGAATTAAAAAAAAGCAGTATAAAAACCGGAATGTCCAACTGATAAGGCTGAAAATTTTTTCACTTGTTATTTACAGTAATATAAATACATTCACCAACTTTTATTAAAATAAAACCATTTAAACTGGGTGTTCGGATTTATATGTCACTTAGTATATAATGATTCCAAAGAAGGTGGGTTTGATATTTCCCCAGGACTATCGTTCCATCAGCCTACTGTCTGCTCCGTCTAAGCTCGCTGAAAAGCTGATTCTACGTCACCTTGCGAATATCTCGTCAGATCACCATGTGATTCCTGACGTGCAATTTGGATTTCGGTCTGAGCATAGTACGGCGTTACAGGCGGTTAGGCTTTTGGAGCGAGTAACCAGGGGCTTCACCCTTAACGAAAGTACTGGCATCTTGCTTCTGGATGTCTCGAAGGCATTTGACAAGGTGTGGCACAAGGGCCTTCTCTATAAACTAATTCGGGCTTTCTATTTTGGCTCCTAAAACTTTTGAAATCCTTCCTTGAAGGTAGGAAACTTCGGATTAGAATTAATAATTTCTTGTCGACAGTACGGCCCATCAGAGGTTCGGTTCTAGGGCCAATCCTTTACTTCCTTTCCACGCATGATGTGCCTGGTCCTAGCGACTGTGAAGTCTATCTATATGCTGATGACACTGCACTGGCGGCCCAGTCGCGTACCGGGTTCACGACAGGTTACAAAGTGCGGTGGATAAGGTATAGGAATGGACAGATCGGTGGCTAATCAAAATTAATTACTCGAAAACGCAGGCTATCTATTGTACTAAAAAACGTAGCGGCGCCCCGCCTGAGGTTTTAGTGAATGAGACTCGCATACGATGGGGAAATTTTGCTAAGTATCTCGGTGTCACGCTTGACCAGGGGATGACCTGGCAGAATCACACTGACGCGTTAAAAACTAAATTCCAAATTACGTTTCGGCAACTCTACCCTTTACTATGTAGAACCTCTAAATTAAGTTTGCTTAACAAAGTTCGGCTATACAAGATGGTTATCAGCAATCACTTATGCATGTGCAGCATGGTGTCATCTTGCCAAAACGCATATGCGTAATCTGCAGGTTTTGCAGAACAGAACCTTGCGAACCATCACTAACGCACCATGGTATGTCTCCAACGAGACCCTTCACAGAGACCTCGACATCCCTTACCTATGGGACTACGTCAAACATCAGGCGCAGTTACGTTATAGTCAAGCGGATTCGCACAGCAACCCTCTGTTGCGTGAGTCAGTAGACTACACAGTCGAGCAAGTTCGCAAGCACACAAGACCGCGGCTCGCACCGTGATCAAAATCAAATCGTGCAATTCTATATCCAACCAAAATTACGATTTTTGCTACACGCAAATTCCTAAATTAATTTATGGAATAATTTAAATTAACCGAATACCAGCTAACAATAGCAAAGCATCCCTTTAACCGGCGCACTTCACCCTCTTTGATCTTCCCCTTCCTTCTTTTTTTTCTTCTTCCTTTCTTTCTCCCTGACTTCGTCTGGTACCTGGGCAACCAGACCTGAGTCACTTACTGACCTACGATACTTTAACAAAGAGCGAAGGTCCCACGGACCGCTCTGACGGACAATGACGAATAGAAGATCAGAAGTGTGTCAAAAACCTTCGGTAAAGTATACTCTCATTTCTGGACAAGAGAGTCTCAGCTTTGTCGGCCTGCGTTGTTCAATGCAATTACCGAACTGCTGATTAGAGTATATTTTTTTGATGTAATAAGAAGGTAAATAAGCAATGATTATGTTTTAAATAAAATACAAACCTTGAGCAGTAATTACTTATCACGTATGCTTATCATTCATGCCCTAAAAAACTTAATATCTAAATCCCAGTTCAAATGCAGCACAAGGAGAGATGTCCGTCATGTGATGTTTAGCATGAAATGGTTATTCTTCGGTAATTTATTCGCTATGAATTATGTAAATCTGAAACAGGTTGCATCATATTGATGTTTCTAAGAAACACTTTAGAATCAGACGACAATGGGAAAATGATTTATTCTGCATCAACGGTTTCTAAGGCTGAACACTCATGCTAATTGTTCGTTTTGCTTGTACAGACTTAAAAATCGCCTTACAAGATTGTGTGTGATACCAATTCGTCCATTATCATAGTCGCTTCCCCTCCCTTTGGCAGAGTGAAATGAACCGAAGCTCCAAGTTTACGTCTGTACCAACTAGCTTCAGAAAAAGCAAACTGTGTATCTATGCTTGACGACCACAGGACGTCGGATGCCACAAACACTACATCTCGATGACGACTTAATTGCAACTGGAACGTAGGAGCAACATGCGTGTCAAAGCCAGCTTTTATACAGGGTGTTCATTTAAAAACTTCCCACCACGGATTTATCAAAAACCACTGATTGTCACAAAGATAACTGACAGCAAATTAAATTCTTTCTTTCCCTTAGCAACAAATAACTAGACAGGTAGGTATAGTAATAAATACAGTTCGCCCAGGATAGCTGTGTTGAAGAAAAGAATGCGGAAAATAATTCGGGTTGTTATTTGGTTGTTACCACGTCTAATCTTCCAAATTGCTGTTTGTGTTGGTAGTTTCCGTTTTAAATTATAAATACATTGTAGATTTGACAAACCCTAACGAGCAACATTTTGAACACTCATTGAAATAAAAAGATATAGATAGATAGATAGATAAGACTATCTATCTATAGTCAACGCCAAACAAAGTGGCGTGCACGTCATCAAGGTGGGTGTGTTGAAAAATTTACATTGTTGCCAAACTTTTTGTAAAATAATAAAATTTATTATTTACATATCTAGGTTTATAAGCAATATTAACCTCAAATGAGAACAAAAATAATAGTATAGTAGTTCTTGCGATTATGCAGCATCGACTACTGGGTCATTAGCTGCCTGTCGTTGTGTGATTCAATTTTGGTTGAGTATAATTAGAGTTTCCAGTAAAAGCCCGTGCATTTCAGAAACGATATCGTGTTTTTTATTAAATCAGGCTTTTTAAGATTTTCTGCGAAATCTCTTGACAGACCAAAACTGTTTCTAAGGTTGCTTAACGCTGGACATTCTATCATAATATGCATTGCAGTTAATCGTGCCTCGCATGACGGACAATTTGGATGACCTTGGCCAGAGAGTAAGTAGGAATGTGTCAATGCTGTGTGGCCCAAACGCAGTCTATGTATCCGGACGGCTTC